GGAGCAGCTGCAGCGGGACGGGATGCCTGGCTTTTGCCCTGCCCCAGCTGCTCCGGGCAGGTGAGCAGTGCACATTGGTGTCCTGCCCCGCCCAGGCCGCTCCAGGCCTGTGGGCAACGCATGCGGAGAGCCTCTGGACAGGGGAAGTGGGCCAGCAGAGAGCGGCCTGTACTCTCCACATGGCGGCGATGGCAGCTGTGAGCATGCCAAGCGGAACCTGCGGGCCAAGCTGAAGTAGTGCCTGCAAGCCATCAGTGCTGAGGATTGGCTGCGCAAGTCCCACCTCTTGGCCCAGAAAGTGCGTGATCACAGGGACACCCACCGTGGCGGGCCATATTGACATCCTCCTGGCCGCATCACGGAGGTTTGCAGATCTGCGAAGCCACAGGCCTCCGGTGCACACATCTTCTCCTCCTCCCCTGGCGTGTGAACATCCCCAGCACGCTGTCACCCTCATGTGCCTGCAACAGTCCCGGACCAAAGCACATACAAGTTCTCCCCGCCCCTCCGCCACACTTCCATCAACCCAGCATGCCTACGTCCCCCACAGGATGTGCGCAGGTCCCTGGCATGCTCATGTCCTTTGGAGAGTGTCTGGGTGTTCTGGGTGCTGAGAGTGGGCATCTGTGAGATGACAGTGAGAGGGCGGAGTGGTGATGCCCTATTCCTACAGAAGCCAGTGCAGCAACGAGATCACCTCTGTGGGGCTAATGCACATGCTGAGGTGGGAGCAGGTGCAGACAGATATACCTGGTGGGCCAGGCGGCCCTTGCTGAGGTGCCTCTGGTCAGCATTCAAGATCAGGAACCCAGAGGAGGCAAGGAGTTCCATCCTTTCAGTGAAATGGTGGGATAGTCAAGATGACTGCAGAGGAGGAATGTGCACTTTGGGTGCCAGCACCCATGAGCAAAGGCTGCCCTGACTGAGCCTCGCTCGCGTGGGTCCTAGCACCCTCCTGCTGGGCAGTGGGTGATAGGACGTGCTTTTCTGAGTTAATGAGAGAAAACATTGATTCTCCTGCTGCTTGTGAAGGTTGAAAGTGAAGTGGGGAGACACGCAGGGAGTGAGCGAGGTTCCCTGTCTGGGGGTTCCCAATCCGCTGTTGGTTCCTTTCACCACTGGCTAGAGATATACAGGGTGTCCCCTCAAAATGTATACACACTTTGAATATCTACTAATTCCAATGGTTTTAAGCATTTAAAGAAAGAAACAACAATGGAGCTGTCATCTGTAAAAAGTGCGGGCACAAACAGGCAGTTGGACATTCCCCAAGGGTTCCCGGATTGGAGAGGGTGCAGGCCAGACAGAGGGGCCCCTTTTCCCCCTCACCCCCGTGCACAAATTTCATGCACCGGGCTACTAGTGTTTTATAAATATTGATTTATCAGCCTGCAATGCAATGTTCTTTCCTTGTTTTTTGGGTTCAAGAAATTCCTACTCTCATTAAACAACAAACTTAAAATTCTACCTCAGTTCAAGGTTTATCTCCTATAGAGTCCCAACTCTGAATACATATGCCTTTTGTGTGCTCATATGGCACTGTACCCTGAGACATCACAGCCTGCATGATATTATACACCCACACTCCCTAGTGATTGTTTATTTAAATGTCTCCCACTAGATTTCAAACTCCTTGAAGGCAGAAACTATGTCTATTTCAATGCTCAGTGTCTAGTGCAAAGCTTCAGGTCACATAATAGACACTGAACACTTTTTTTGTTGAATGAATGAATCATCCTTGCTATCTTTCTTTCCCTCATGCCCTATGGCCTATCCACCATCTAGTTCCACCCACTATCAAAATATTTCTCAAATTTTTCAATTTTTCTCCATCTTCACCACCACCACTCTGCTTCAAGCAACCATCTTCTATCATCTGGACCACTGCTTCTTCCACCTGTTCCCCTTCAATCTATTCCCTATACAACAGCCAGAGTGGCTTTTCTAAAATGCAGATCTTATGATGTCACTCTCTCACCAGAAACTCTTTAGTGGTGCCACATTATTGCTAGAATAAAAGTCAACTGGAAATCTTGGCTTCTTAGGATCACTTCTAAGAGAGGGGAACCAAGATGGCAGTATAAGTAAATGCCAGTACTCGCAGCCTTCCACAACTACATCAAAATTACAACTAAAATAAAGAACAACCATCATCCAGAACTGCCTGAAAGCTGGCTGAATAGAAGCCCTACAACTAAAGAAGTAAAGAAGAAATCACATTGAGACTGGTGGGGGTGGGGGCAGAGGCACGAAATGGACTGATCTGACAACCACATTTGCTATTTTTTTTAATTGGGAGGAAGATCATTTTTGCGGAGGCTGCCCATGAGGAGCAAGGAGTCCCAGCCCCACAACAGACCCCCCAGTTCAGGGTTCCAGAGCTGGGAAGAGAAGTGCCTACAACTTTGGGCTGTAAAAATCAGCAGGGTCTGTGGCTGAGTGACACAGAGGCTGCTGGTGACCCATCTGTTCCATTTAAAGGGCTAGCGCACAAACTTACTTGGACTCCCAGCACCAGGCAGCTTTGGGGGACCTAGACACATAAGGGGAGAAACTGGATTATCTGACATCAGGGCAGGAACCCAGGGGTGGCTTTCTCTCAGACTGCGGTGCTCAAAGGGTTCATTGTTCCTGTGTTGGGTCCACCCCTGTCGCAGGGCTGACTGAGTTTCCATCCTGTCGCTCACTCTTTGCTCTGCCCTGGGGATTCCCTGAGACCCAAACCAAACCAATTTGCAGCCCCATGCAAGTTCTTTGAAGCAGCTTTTCCAGATGAATAGCCTGTACTGGCTCAGGCTTCAGACTTTCCTAAAATCTCTCAAACAAGCTGAAGCTGGTGACAGAATGCCCCAAACCTATCAATAAAAGGCCCAAGACCTGGCACTAGCACCAGCGTGCCTTGTTTCACAGTTGGGTCTTGCCTGGGCACCTCCAAACCCAATACAACAAGCAAACAGCACTATCTGCAGATCCCTCTGTAGCTTCTTCTGGGCAGGCAGTGGCTGACTTTGCACCTCCCTGGGGCCCTAGAGTTAGTGCACCCAATAGACAGCTTCAAAACATAGCAGATTAAAACACTACACACCCTCAAGCAGCCTACTTAAGAGGCAGACTCAGTAAGCACCAAGCCCCACTGAAGCAAGTCCTGATCCATAGGGGTGTCTCCTGTACAACAGCTCTTCCACTGAAGTCACAGCTGGTGCTCAGAGCCAGTTGGTCTGGAGGTCAATTCCTCCCAGTGACACCAATAGCAATCAAGGCTCAACTACAAGACTGTGCACACAGCCCACACAGGGGTGTGCCTAGAGTGCCCAATTGGGGTGACTGGGGAGGCTGAGCCACTGGGTCCTACAGAACACCTACTATACAAAGCCACTCTACCAATTCCAGGAGACATAGCAGCTCTACCTAATACATAGAAACAAAAACAGAGAAACCCAAAATGCGGAGACAAAGAAACATGTCATAAATGAAAGAAATGGAAGCGAGCAAACTATTGGGTACAGGGTTCAGAACCATAGTTATAAGGTTACTCAAGGATCTTTATAAGAGCTTCAAGGGATTTAGTGAGACTTTCAAGGATCTTAGTGAGAATGTCTAAGACATGAAAAAGGACAAGTCAGAAATTAAGCATACAGTAACTGAAATAAAGAATAAATTTACAGGGATTCAATAGTTGAGTAGAAGGTTCCGAGAATCAAATCAATGATTTGTAATATGAGGAAGCAAAAAACACCCAAACAGAGGAGTAAAAAGAAAAAAGAGTCCAAAAATATAAAGATAGTGTAAGGAGCCTCTGGGACAACTTTAAGTGTACCAACATTCACATTATGGGGGTGCCAGAAGGAGATGAAAGATAGCAAGATATTGAAACCCATTTGAAGAAATAATTACAGAAAACTTCCACTCCTTGGTGAAAAAAATAGACTTACAAGTCCAGGAAGTACAGAGAGTCCCAAACAAGAGGAACCCAAAGAGGTCCACACCAAGACACATAATAATTAAAACGCCAAGGGTTAAAGACAAACAGAAAGAGAAAAGCAGTCAGTTACCTACAAGGGAGCACCCATAGGACTGTCCGCTGATTTTTCAACAGAAATTTTGCAGGCCAGAAGGGAGTGGCAAGAAATATTCAAAGTGATGAAAAGTAAGGACCTACAACCAAGATTACTCTACCCAGCAAAGATCTCATTTGGAAGTAAGGGTCAGATAAAGAGCTTCACAAACAAGAAAAGCTAAAAGCTAAAGGAGTTCATCATGACCAAACCAGCAATACATGAAATGTGGAAGGTATTCTCTAAGAAGAGGAAGAAGGAGAAGGAGAAGGAGAAGGAGAAGGAGAAGGAGAAGGAGAAGGAGAAGGAGAAGGAGAAGGAGAAGGAGAAGGAGAAGGAGAAGAAGAAGAGGAAGAAGAAGAAGAAGAAGAAGAAGAAGAAGAAGAAGAAGAAGAAGAAGAAGAAGAAGAAGAAGAAGAAGAAGAAGATTAAAAGAGATACAAAATATAAACAATAAAATGGCAACAAATATATATCAAAAATTTAATCTAAAAATCAAAATAAGAAATCTAATGATCAAAATAAACTGATGAATAAAATTGAGCCAGAGATATGGAAGCATGGAACAGACTGACAATTCTTAGAGGGAAGAAGGTGTATGTGTGTCAGGGGGGCGGGGGCGGGGCTGGAAGAGATTAACCAAAGATCTTACTTATGGACACAGACAGTAGGGTGGTGGAGGACTGGGGTGGGGTGGGAACTGGATGGAGGGGGCAATGGGGGAAAAGGAGGAAATCTGTAATACTTGCAACAATAAAGATTACCAAAAAAAAATGTCAATGCACTTAACCTGAGCTACACAGAAGTTCATGCTCTCCATGGTGAGATTATGATGTCAGAATATGACACACAATATAATGATGTCATAAACCCCTAGGACAGGCTGAACCATATTAAATACAGTAGCTTCCTTGGTAGAAGAAACTGTTGAAGAAAGCCCTGGACATGAACCTTTTTATTTTTGTCCTACTTTTGTCCATTTGGGCAAATAATTGTTTACATGAAAACCAAAGTGATGGATCTACTACAGGTATGAACCTAACCTTAACACCTAGAAATTATGATTATATTATGTATTCAAGCCTCTAATTAAACAAGCTAGCTGTGTTTACGAAGTCTTCTGTTAATTGAATGTTGCCATTAGTAGGACTTTAAGAATTTCTAGGACAAGTGAGAGTTATTATTTTTTAATATGTTTTTATTGATTTTAGAGAGAGAGAGAGAAAGGGAGAGGGATAGAGAAATAGAAACATCAATGAAAGAAAAATATTGATCAGCTGCCTCCTGCATGCCTTCACTGGGAATCTACCCTACAACCCAGGCACATGCCCTGACCAGGAATTGAACCGGTAACCTCTTCATTCATGGGTTGACACTCAACCACTGACTAAACCAGCAGGGCTATTCTGTTTTTAATTTATCTTTATTGTTAAAAGATTTACAAGAGTCCCCCTTACTTTCCCCCATTGTTCCTTGCCATTCCCACCCCCTCCCCAGGCCTTAACTGCACTATTGTCTGTGTCCATGGGTTATGCATATATGCGTACAAGTTCCTGGGTTAATCTCTCCACACCCCGCCTCCCTCTGAGATTCATCAATCTGTTCCATGCTTCCATGTCTCTGGCTCTATTTTGTTTGTCAGTTTATTTTGTTTAGATCCACATATAAGTGAGATCATGTGACATTTGTCATTCTCTGACTGGCTTATTTTGCTTAGCATAATACTCTCCAGGTTGCTCCATGCTGTCTCAAAGGATAAGCGATCCTTCTTTTTTAGAGCTGCATAGTATTCCATTGTGTAAATGTACCACCACTTTTTTATTCACTCATCTACTGATGGGCAATTGAGCTGTTTCAAGATCTTAGCTATTGTAAATAATATGAACTTAGGGGTGCATATATTCTTTCTGAATGATATTTTGTGATTCTTTGAATATATTCCTAAAAGTGGGATCACTAGATCAATGGCAGTTCCATTTTTATTTTTTTGAGAAAACTCCATACTGTTTTCCATAGTGGCTGTAGCAATCTGAATTCCCACAGGTGGTATACTAGGATGACCTTTTCTCCACATCCTTGCCAGCACTTGTTTGTTGATTTATTGATGGTAGCCATTCTGGCAGGTGTAAGGTGATGCCTCGTTGTCATTTTAATTTGCATCTTTCTGATGATTAATGAATTTGAGCATTTTTTCATGTCTCTTGCCATTTGTATGTCCTCTATAGAAAAGTGTCTATTTAGGTACTCTGCCCATTTTTAATTAGATTGTTTTTCTTCCTTTTGTTGAGTTGTATCAGTACTTCATATATTTTGGAAATTAATCCCTATCAGATGTATCATTGACAAATATGGTCTTCCATACAGTAGGCTCCCTTTTCATTTTGAGGATGGTTTATTTTGCTGTGCAGAGCTTTTATTTTGATGTAGTAGCATTTATTTTTTTTTCCTCTGATTCTCTTGCCTTAGGCCTTGTATCAGTGAAAATTGTGCTACATGAGATTCTGATATTTTTCTGCCTATATTTTCTTCTAGGAATGTTATGGTTTTATGATTTACATTTAAGTATTTTATTCATTTTGAGTTTATTCTTGCATTTGGTGTAAGTTGATAGTCTAGTTTCATTTTTTTGGAAGTACCTATTCAATTATCCCAACACCATTTATTGACAAGACTGTCTTTACTCCATTGTATGCTCTTGCCTGCTTTATCAAATATTAATTCAGCATAATGGCTTGGGTCAATTTCTGCAGTCTCTGTTCTGTTTCATTAATCTATATGCCTGTTCTTATGCCAGGACCAGGCCATTTTGATTACAGTGGCTTTATACAGCAATATAGCTTGATATCCAGTATGGTGATCCCTCCAACTTTGTTCTTATTTCTCAATATTGCTTTGACTATTCAGGGTCCTTTTTTGTTCCAAATAAAATTTTGAAGTGTTTGAAATCTGCTGTTGGTATTATAGGGATTGTATTGGATATATAGATTGCTTTAGATAGTATGGACATTTTAATGATGTTAATTCTACCAATCCATGAATATAGTATACTAGAGGCCCGGTGCATGGATTTGTGTGCTAGTGGGGGCGTGGCCTGTGGGGATCAGCCCACTGTGCGAGCACCACTCATCCCAGTCAGCTGAGCAGAGCTTCCACTGGGGGAGCGCACTGACCAGCAGGGGGCAGTTCTGTGTTGAGCATCTGCTTCCTGGTGGTCAGTGCACATCATAGTGAGTGGTCAGCTGGTCATTCTGGTCATTCCACCATTTGGTCACTGGGCTTTTGTTATATAGGATTCTTCCACTTGTTTATATCTTCTATCTCTTTCTGAGTCCCCACTGGGGTGCCTGGCCAGCCTGGGTGAGGGGCTGAGGGCTGTTTCCAGACTGACCAACATTCTGTAGTTTTCTGAATACAGGTTTTTACCTCCTTGGTTAAGTATATTACTAAGTTTCTTAATTTTTTTTGTTGCAATGGTAAATGGGATTGTTTTTTAGTTTCTCTTTCTGAGAGTCCATTATTGGTATACAAAAATGCCATCTATTTCTGGGTGTTAATTTTGTATCCTGCTACATTTCTGAAATCATTTATTATATCTAACTAGAGGCCCGGTGCATAAAAATTTGTGCACGGGGGGGGGGGGGGGGGAGGTACCCTCAGCCCGGCCTATGCCCTCTTGCAGTCTGGGACTCCTCGGAGGATGTCCACCTGCTGGCTTAGGCCCGCTCCCTGGGGAATGGGGCCCAAGCTGGCAGTCAGACATCCCTCTGGCAGCCTGGCAGCCCTCAGGGGATGTCCACTTACCAGCAGGGAGCAGACCTAAGCTGCAGTCAGACACCCTTAGTGCTGCTGAGGAGGCAGGAGAGGTTCCCGCCATCACCGCTGTGCTGGCAGCCATCAGCCTGGCTTGTGGCTGAGCAGAGCTCCTCCTGTGGGAGCGCACTGACCACCAGGGGAGACAGCTCCTGCATTGAGCATCTGCCTCCTGGTGGTCAGTGTGTGTCATAGTGACCAGTCATTCCCAGTCGTTCTGCTGTTAGGGTCAGTTTGCATATTGCCCTTTTATTATATAGGATAGAGGCCTGGTGCACAGGTGGGGGCCGGCTGGTTTGCCCTGAAGGGAGTCCTGGATCAGGGTGGGGGTCTCGCTGGGATGCCTGGACAGCCTGGGTGAGGGGCTGATGGCTGTTTGCAGGCTGGTCAAGCCCTCCAGTGGGGACCCTCACCCCATGGGGGTTTGGCCAGCTTGGGTGAGGGGCTGATGGCTGTTTGCAGGCTGGCCACACCCCCTTCAGGGTAGGGGTCCCTGCTGGATGCCTGGCTAGCCTGGGTGAGGGGCTGAGGGCCATTTTCAGGCTGCCCAAAGCCCCTTCAGGGTGGGAGTCCCCACTGGGGTGCCTGGCCAGCCTGGGTGAGGGGCTGATGGCTGTTTTCAGACTGACCAAGTCCCCTGGCAACCGAAGCTCCCAGCCTTTCTTTCTTTTTTTTTTTTTTTATTCACTCCAGCTCCGTGGCCATGGCAACTAGAAGTAGGTATCTGGGGTTTATTTACTTCTATAATTGAAACTTTGTTGCCTTGAGAGGAGGCAGCAGCCAGCCAGTAAGCTTGGCTTCTTCCATTGCCGGGGCAACCAAGCCTCCTGCTCACGGCCAGCTGGAAGCAGGTATCTGGGGTTTATTTGCCTTCTATAATTGAAACTTTGTTGCTTTGAGTGGAGCTCAGATCCCGCCGCGGCAGGCAGTAAGCTTGGCTTCCTCCATCATTGGGGCAACCAAGCCTCCTGCTTGCTCCAGCTCCGTGGCTGCTGGCCACCATCTTGGTTGGGTTAATTTGCATATAGTAGCTCTGATTTGCTGGTGGGCGTGGCTTAAGGCATAGTGAAGGTATGGTCAATTTGCATGTTTGTCTATTATTAGATAAGATAGTTTTTTAGTGGAGTCCTTAGGTTTTCTATACAATATCATGTCATCTGTGAATAATGACAGTTTTACATCCTCCTTTCTAATTTGGATGCTTTTTATTTTTCTTCTTGTCTGATTGCTGTGGCTACAACTTCTAGTACTATCCTATCTAATAAAAGAGAAACATGGTAATTAGCGTACAACCGCTACCCTTCCCATTGGCTAATCAACAAGATATGCAAATTAACTGCCAGCCAGGATGGCAGCCGGCAGCCAGGCAGCTTGAAACTAACATGACGCTTGCTTGCTTCAGTAACGGAGGACTCCAACGTTCCCCTGCCTGCCTTGCCGGCCTCTGAGCTTGCAGTTTAAGAAACATTGTAACAAATATAGAAGCTAAACAAAACCCCAGAAACCTCCTTTCAGCGAGCCCAGGATCTCAGAGCTGGAGTTCTACATTGTTTCAATTATAGAACCCAAACAAACCAGATACCTTCTTTCAGCAGCAGAGGCCTCAGAGATGGAGCCAGAGCTAAAGCTGGCCCAGAATAAAATTAAAAAAATTAAAAAAGGAGCAGTTGGGAGCTGCAGTCTGCCTGAAAACAGCCCTCAGCCACTCACCCAGACTGGCCAGGCACCCCAGTGGGGACCCCCACCCTGAAGGGTGTGTGACCAGCTGCAAACAGCCATCATCCCCTCACCCAGGCTGGCCAGGCACCCCAGTGGAGAACCCCACCCTGATCCAGGACACCCTTCAGGGCAAACCAGCCAGCCCCACCCATGCACCAGGCCTCTATCCTATATAGTAAAAGGGTAATATGCCTCCCAGCACCAGGATCAGCGGAGCCGAGAGGCCTCCCGGCACCGGGATCAGCGTGACAGGGGGTAGCGCCCAAAACCCCTGATTGCCCTGCGGCTCTGTGTGTGACAGGGCGTGGGGCCACAACCTCCCTATCCGCCCTGCTCTGTTAGTGACAGGGGAAGGCGCCCCAACCCCCTGATCAGCCCTGCTCTGTGCCTGATGGTGGGAGCTCCCCAACCCCCTGATCGCCCTGTGGCTCTGTGTGTGACAGGGTGCGGCGCCTCAACCCCCTGATCGGCCCTGCTCTGTGTGTGACAGGGTGCGGCGCCCCAACCCCCCTCCCCCACGTGCCCTGCTCTGTGTGTGACGGGGTAGAGCCATAACCTCCCCATAGGCCCTGCCCTGAGTGTGAGAGTGGCGGGGCCCCAACCACCTGATCGGCCCTGCTCTGTGGGTGATAGAGGGTCGTGCTCCAACCCCCTGATCCGCCCTGCAGTGAGTGTGACAGGGGGTGGTGCCCCAACTCCCCTATCGGCCCTACTCTGTGAGTGACAGGGGGGAGCTCCCCAACCCCTTGATTGACCCTGCTCTGTGCGTGACAGGGTACGGAGCCCCAACCCCCCTGATGGGCCCTGCTCTGTGCGTGACAGGGGGTGGCGCCGCAACCTCCCCATCAACCCTGCCTTGAGTGTGACAGGGGGCGGTGCCCCAAACCCCCAATCGGCCCTACCCTGAGCGTGACTGAGGGTGGTATCGCAACCTCCCAATCTGCCCTGCTCTGAGCCTGACCAGGGGCTGCACCTAGGGATTGGGCCTGCCCTCTGCCACCAGGGAGCAGGCCTAAGCCAGCAGGTCATTATCTCCCGAGGGGTCCCAGACTCCGAGAGGGCACAGGCGGGGCTGAGGGACCCCCCGAGTGCACAAATTTTTGTGCACCAGGCCTCTAGTCCTATATAATAAAAGGCTAATATGCAAATTGTCCCCAAGGGCAGGAGTTCAACCCACCAAGAGTTAGATGTGCACTGACCACCAGGGAGCAACGGTGGCAGGCATCCAGGGAAAGGGAGGCTCTGGCCAGCAGCCGGCAGTCACTATCCATGGACAAATTTCATGCATTGGGCCTCTAGTGTTGTATAAATATGGTGAAAGTGGACAACACTGCCCTATTCCTGCTCTTAGGGGAAATGGTTTAGGTTTTTCCCATTGAGTATGATGTTGGCTGTAGGTTTGTCATTTATGGCCTTAATTATGTTTAGGCGTGATACCTCTCTTTCCACTTTGGTGAGAGTTTTTATGAAAAAGTGGGTGTTGGATTTTGCCAAATGTTTTTTTTCCTGTATCTATTGATATGATCATGTGATTTTTATCCTTCATTTTATGTATGTTATGTATCACATTTATTGATTTGTGAATATTGTACCAGCCTGTGGCCCTGGAATAAATCCTACTTGGTCATGCTGTATAGTCTTTTTAATATATTGCTGGATCCAATTTGTTAATATTTTGTTGAGGATTTTAGCATCTATGTTCATCAGGGATATTGGCTTGTAATTCTGTTTCTTTGTAATGTCTTTATCTGGTTTGGAATTACGATAATGTTGACCTCTTTAAAAGAGATTGGAAGTATGCCTTTCTCTTGGATTTTTTGGAGTTGTTTTCGGAACATAGGTGTTAGTTCTTCTTTGAATATTTGGTAATACTCCCTTGTGAAGCCATCTGGGCCAGGGATTTTGTTTGCTGAAAGTTTTAATTTTATTAATGCTTCAATTTCTTCAGTTGTCATTGGCCTGTTCACATTTTCTGATTCTTCCTGATTCAGTTTTTGAGGATTGTATTTTTCTAGGAATTTGTTTATTTGATCTAGGTTGTCCAGCTTGTTGTCATATAGTATTCCTTACAATCCTTTGTATTTATGTGGAGTCAGTTGTTTCTTCACCTCTTTCATGTCTGGTTCTATTTATTTGAGTCTTCTCTCTTTGTTTCTTGATGACTCTGGCTAGAGGTTCATCTATCTTGTTTATATTTTCAATGAACCAGTTCTTGGTTTAATTGGGGTTTTTTTGTATTGTTTTTCTTAGTCTCTATGTCACATATTTCCACTCTTCTTATTATTATTTCCTTCCTTATTATTCCCTTCCTTCTACTAACTCTGGGCTCTTCTTGTAGTTATCTTTCTAATTCTTTAAGTTGTAGAGTTAGTTTATTCAAAATTTTTCTTTTTTCTTGAGGTAGGCCTATAGTGCTATGCACTTCCCCTCTAAGGACTGCTTTTACTGGCTTCCATAGATTTAGGGTGGTTGTGTGTTTGTTTTTATTTGTTTCCAAGAAGTTTTTTATTTCTCCCTTGATTTCATTGGTAACCCATTCGTTGTTTAATAACATGCTATTTAGCCTCCATGTGTTTGAATGTTTTGTGGTGTTTTTATTGTAATTGATCTCCAGATTCATACCATTGTTATCTGAGAAGTTACTTGATATGATTTCAATCTTCTTGAATTTATAGAGACTTTGTTTAAGTCCTAACATGTGGTTTATCTTTGAGAATATACCATGTTCACTTAAGAAGAACATATATTCTGAAGCTTGGGGGTGAAATGTTCTGTAAATATCAATTAAATGCATTTGATCTTGTGTGTCATTTAGGGTTGCTGTTTTCTTGTTGATTTTTTTATCTAGAAGTTTTATTCAGTGTTGTCAGTGGGGTTTTTAAGTCCCCTACTATGACAGTATTGCTGTTCATCTTTCCCTGTAAGTCCTCCAGAATTTTATTATATATTTGTGTGCCCCTATATTGGGTGAATATAAGTTTATCAGAATTATATACTCTTGTTGTATCAATCCATTTAGTATTATGAAGTGACCTTCATTGTCTCTTGTTATGGCCTTCATTTTGAAGTCTATTTTGTCAGATATGAATAATGTTATCCCAGCTTTTTTTTTTCATTTCCATTGGCCTGAAAAAAAATTTCCATCCCTTCCCTTTCATCCTTTGTGAGTCTTTTATTTTCAGGTTCATACATATTTCCAGACAGCATATATATGGGTCATGTTTTATTACTCATTTACCTACCCTATGTCTTTTGATTGGAGCATTTAATCCATTTACATTTAATGTTATTATTGATAGGTACTTATTTGATACAATTTTTATTCTTTTTAAAAAATATTTATGGTTGAGAGTATTTCCCCCCCATTGCCCCTACCACCTAGTTCCCACCCCGCCCCAGGCCTCCATCACCCTACTGTCTGTGTCCATAACTAAGATCTTTGGTTAATCTCTTCCAGGCTCCCCACACCCTTCCCTCTGAGATTCGTCGGTCTGTTCTATGCTTCTATGGCTCTGATTCTATTTTATTCACCAGTTTATTTTGATCATTAGATTTCTTGTTTGTTTATTATGATTTTTTAGATTAAGTTGATGATATATTTGTTGCCACTTTATTGTTCATTTTTTATCTTTTTTTTTTCTTCTTCTTTGCCTTCTTCCTCTTCTTAAATAATACCCTTCAACATTTCATGAAATACTGGTTTGGTGGTGATGAACTCCTTTAGCTCAGAAGGAAGAGGGAAGGAGGGCATAGGAAGAGCTTAACCAAAGAATTTATATGCATATATGCATTACCTATGGACACAGACAGTTGGGTGGTGAAAGCCTGGGGTGGCGAACCAGGTGGAGGGGAGCAGGTAGGTGCTCTGCTTTTGAAGAAGGCAGGGCGAGCTAGCTATACCGCTCACCAATATGGCAGCACAAGCCCCACAGGCAGCTTATCAAGGCAGAAGGGCTGGTTGTTTGGGACCAAGGTTCAGGTGTGCCTGACTACCCCTAGCCCATGTGTCAGGGCTTTGGGTCTCAGCAGTGAGGCCATGCATGCCTGCCTGTGGCCTAGGGGCACTGGGACATACCAATTCCCACTTTCTCCTCCCGTGGAGGACCCTCAGGCTCCTTCAAAATGGTGCACTCTCCAACCTCAAGCAGAGAGAAGCTCAAGCAGAGCTACACGAAGCAGCAGTGGGCAGCGCCTCTGCTAGGAGCTCTCGCACTAACAGAAGCCCACCCGTACTCACACCCCCTGAACAGTCTCCCTTGCACACACTCACCCACTCACACTCTCACCCTCACTCTGGACTTGCCCACTGCCATATTGGTTCTTTCCTGAGAGTTTTTATTCTTTTTTATATATTTTAGTTGATTTCAGAGAGAAAGGGAGAGGGAGAGGGAGAGAGAGAGATAGAAACATCAATGATAACAGAGAATCATTGATTAGCTGCTTCCTGCACGCCCCACGCTGGGGATTTAGCCCACAACCTGGGCATGTCTCCAGATCAGGAATCAAACCATGACCTCCTGGTTCATAGGTCAATGCTCAACTGTGGAGTCATGCCAGCCGGGCTAGAGTTTTTATTCTTTGTGAAAAATTCAAGCAATATTAGAAGCATAAAGAGTACAGACATATTGTCTCCCTTCTCTCCCCTTCTCTACCCAATCCACCAACCCCAGTCCCCAACCAAAGTAGATAATACTATGTGAATGAATCTGGCATGGTATCTAACACATAGTAGCTTTCAACAAGGGTTTTACTTATCCCATCTTCCTTCCCACCACACATTAACAATCAAGTGCATTCACACATATAGAAAACATACACACAGACTCAAAAACTTACTAGTAAGCAATGGGGTGAGAAAGCCATGAGGCAGGGGTTAACCCAGGTAATTATACTGATTAGCCAGAGATGTCTCCCAGATTTGGCTTCTAGATTGTGGTTGGGGACATAATAGAAGGAAGGAAATGATGGAACATTTATGCTTTAAAAAATCACTGATGAAGAGAATTTTGAACTATAGTGATACACAACTATGAAAATGGAAGTAAACTTGGTTACCTAACACATTTTTTTGGTGATACAATTTCTTTGACAGGAGCTAAGCAACTTGAATCATCACAAACAGAAGACAGCAGAAAACATATATTTATTATAGTAGTTGGTATTATGAGCACAGCTTTTATCTGTACTTTTTGCTGCCTCCATTATAATTGTTTGAGCAGAGATGCCCCCGAAGAAAAATTGTAAGTTTTACACTTTGAATTAAGAATGCAAGGTGTGTGTGTGTGTGTGTGTGTGTGTGTGTGTGTGTGTGTGTACACATATAGTGGAGGTTTCATTCTTGTGATTACTTAATGTTAACTTTAGACTTTTAAAGAGCTACCAAGATCTTGAGGATGGATGCCTACACTTAAATGATATCACCTCTTAAATATTCTCAAGTACATTATCAACTTTAACCAAAGCTATCTTCTATTCAGGATTCAGCTGAGCCCCACACTATTAATTTCATTATAAATTGAGTCTAGAAAAATAGGGCATGACTATCTGAATAATATAGGGAGACTAAAAACAGGGAGGGAGAGGGAGTTGGGCCTGCATTCCAAAGACAATGAAACATTTTGGATAATCTACCATTTTAAGATGTATTAACATGAAAAGTTATTCACTGTTCTTATTATCTCAGTTCCTGCCTTTCAGATAGAATGATCAGTCTGGCTCTAATATATTGTATTGATTCTCTAAATATTTCCCAATCCAAGTACTGGTGACTAGAATATGTTAATGTTTCCTTCCTTTAGTTTTAGAGGAATACTGTGAATATAAATATGCATGGATAGATAACTTGATGTTATAAATATAATAGGAAAATAAGACTGGTCTAAAAAGTTTATTTTTTATTGTAACAAGTTGTGACATTTATATATCAGTTCTGTATCAACACGTGACTTTTGTATAAAAGGTTTAATTTTTGGAATAAATGAAATTCTCTCTCAGTAGTAGATTTAAAACAAGTTGCTATTATTCAATAGATAGACTATATTGTTATCTAATGTGGTGAAATAGTAAAATCTCTGAAAAAAGAAATAGCATGAATTCAACAAGTTCTTATCTGTAACCTGAGTCATGGCTTTCACCACACTCCAATTCTAGTAGGGGTTCAATTTCCCTACTAGAGAAAAAACAAAGACCAAAACACTAAACTGACAAAGTAGCCTTTTTTGGTGATAGCAATAGTGCTTTATTGTTTTATTGATTTTAGAGAGAGAGGAATGGAAATGGAGAGAGAAATAGAAACATCGATAAGAGAGAAACACCAATTGGGTGCCTCCTACATGCCCCCTACTGGGGATCAAACCCACCACCTGGGCATGTGCCCTGACTAGGAATCAAACTGGTGACCTCTTGGTTCATGAGTTGATGCTCTACCACTGAGCCACTGGCCAGGGAGCAATAATACTCTTTCATTTTAACTATCATACTCCAAATTTTCTATATTTTCAGGGTCAAGAAACGTGTAGCATCCAAGTCATCCAAGTCATTCAAACTATTCAGTAAACACAAGACAGACAATGAATGTACTCCAGAGAAACAACCCATGCTATCTGGTATAGACATGTTATCAGAGCTCTCAAGTCAAGAAAGAACATTCATATCATCCAGTTCAGAAAATGTAATCAGGTCCTCAAGTTCAGAAAAGTCATCTAAACCATCTAGTAAAACAAAGTTCATCAAGCCATCAGATCCAAAAAGTGTGTCCAGGTCATTCCACCTGGGAAAGTCATATAGAAAACACAGTCTAGATAAGCCACATAAGCTAGTTTATGCCCATAAGGTAGGCAGTTATGACCATTCATCCTACCCAAATAGGGCAGTCAGTCCAACTTCAATAGCCAGTCTACACTTTCCACTGGAGTCAACCAAACCACATCATCCAACCTGTAGAAGAAGTCAAACCTTGCTACCGGAGTCATCCAGTTTAAAGAAATTTACCAAGTCTCCCATACATCATAATATAAAAAGATCAGTTATTGCAAGTAGGGCAGACATGTTATCTACGTCTCCATTAGTCAAGTCTTGTGCACACTATATGGGAAAAAGACCTGTTTGCAGAACACCTGAGTCTTTGGTTAGTGATATTTCTGAGGTCAAGAATACAAATGCTCAAAACCCACCTTTCCCACGTGAAGAGTTTTTTTCCAAGTGTTTTCATAAGGTAGATTCCAGAGACTATGCATTCCATGGCGATGTGAAGAGCAGTGATGATGACAGTGAGAGGGAAATAACCATTTTTTGCAACGTGAGACTCAAAGAAGTCATTGTTAATAAAACCACAAGTAATAAAGAGCTCAATAAAAACAATCACCTGTGAAGAAGAAAATTTATACCTACTATTTTATGCTCACCATCCTTAAAGATACACTATATAAAGAGAAAATCCACTTGGCAATCACTATTGAGATTAGTCCTGTCCATCTTGGAGGCAATTTATTTTAAAAATATTAATTAAATGCATGAGATAACAAATGGCTTTATTGTAATTATTACTGCATTTTAAAGGCAGAAGGCTCTTTTGATGATTCTTATTTTGATCTGGTCACTTGGATGGGAACCATAAACATACACAACTCTAGAAAAGAGTTACAAAATAGGTACCCTGGACTCTTCCTTCCTTTGGAGTTGCCCTCAAAGTCCCAACACAATTAGCTTTATTTTTTAATGTTTACATAGAGTCTTCACAGTTTAATATTGCCTTTCTGTAGTGGCCAGTGCTTGGCAAAAATGTCTGTGTGTGCTTGGTTCTGGATGAGCTAGGGAAATTCCTGGTAGCTATTTGTAACACCCCTGCTTCCTGTGACTGCTACCTAAAGTGAGGTTTCAGCCTCCAGCACACACACCTGGGGCTCCATGATACCAGTCTAAGTGTTCCAGTCTTCATAACTCTCAACAAGGATTTTAATTATTTTTGTTACCCTACAAAATAGTACGTTTTCAAAAGGTCCCTGCTGCATGTTTTCAAAAAGTCCCAGCTGGAGATATGATGTCTACCCATTTTCCCTACATGGTACTTCCTCATTCTGAGTGGGCAGGGGTGGGTAGATGGGAGAATCTTGGAGTTATATCCTCTAACTCCCCACACTGAAGAGATGTTATTCTTGCCTTCTTCCACGGCCATGGTTTAGAAAAGCAAGCTAAGTCCTGTATTCCAAGCCTATATTCTAGTATAGTAAAGTTAGTCCCCTATAACACCTAGCAGGCATAAGTTAAATGTAATTGCCTAGCTTGTATTGGATGTGTACTATTTGTCAGGCATTGTACAAGTAACTTTATGTTTGTGGGTCTGAAGGCTGCAATCAAGTGTGCTGATTTGCTGAAAGAACTCACAAGACTCAATAGCAGGTTATACACATGGTTAAGGTTTATTAGAACAAAAATAGACAGACACAGAGCAATAGGAAAATATATAAATCAAGAAGAACCTACAGAGGTAAGGCACTTGCTTTTGAGTACATCCCCATCTGGAGACACCCACAGTATGCTTTCTCTCTAGCAACAAACTAGAAAGGCATGTACAGAATGTCTCTGCTCAGGAAGGCCCATTAGGGTCTCTTGGTCTGAGGCTTTTATTGAGAAGTGGTCACATAGGTAAATTATGCTACATGGTAACTGAAACTCAAGATCCCAAGAATGAAACCAGATGCACATCATCAATGTTGATACTCAGGCAAAGCAATCCTGGCAAGCTAATATAGCATGGTCCATTGCTCCAGGTGTATGAAACATAATCATTAATCATTAACATAAGACATTCTGAGAGCCACATTCTCAGAGGTTGGCCAATACTCAGTCATGGTTCCATGTTCCCTTGAAGACGTACAAGGACTAAACAACTAAGCCTTCTATGCTAACACTTTCTCACATATTACATTTTATTTAATGTCCAACCGTCCCTAATTATGTGGATGGTTATATAAATGAACTGAGGCTCTATAACATATAATAAGATCACATCTAATAATTGATTGAATTGATATATAAATCTGTGATTAGCTTATGCTCCAATTTTCATTATGCTGTGCTGCCTTCTCACTACCAGCTTCTAGAGTGCTTGCTTGTTCACAGATCGCCCAATCCATTGCTGTGAGCAAAATCCCTCCTTGACTTTTAATCAGTCTGGGCCATTCTCCCAGACTTCTGGGGCCATATAAAGATGTTTTATGTTCATTCAGATCTGAATTCCCCATGGCCTCTGCCTCTACTGGTAGTTCCTCTGGTGGGGTCTGTACCCATAAGGTCAACATGAAATTCACAGATGTCACTAAGTAGCTGCTTATGTATAAAAGTTTTAAGTGATGGTATATGCATATAAACAGCATTGATAACAGACTTGATTTCCTACTGGTATTACCCTTTTATAAAAGACAAACTGTAAAGTGTTACAATTGTTTGAGGTTAGAAAAGCCTGGTCTTTTTAAAATTTACAAATAGAAGCAAAAGTTCTGATCTAATTTTTAAACTGTTTGTTCTGAAAAAAGTTCAAAGATATACAAAATTAGAGCAAGTGGAGCACCCATAGAAGTAAGCACTACTCAGATTCAACAATTATCTCTACATGGCCAATCATGTTGCATTACACTCCTATCCACTTCCCTTCCCATTTATATCTCTAAAACACAATGACTTTTAGAAGTACATAGACACACCCTAGCTGGTTTGGCTCAGTGGATAATGTCAGCCTATGGACTGAAGGGTCCCAGGTTCGATTCCAGTCAAGAGCATATGCCTGGGTTGCGGGCTCGATCCCCAGTAGGGGGCAATGCAGGAGGCAGCTAATCAATGATTCTCTCTCATCATTGATATTTCTATCTCTCTCTCCTTCTCCCTTCCTCTCTGAAATAAATAAGAAATGGTTTTTTTGTGTGTTTTTTTAAATATATTTCACTGATTCTCTCATAGAGAGGAAGGGAGAGGGATAGAGAGCCAGAAACATTGATGAGAGAGAAACATCGATCAGCTGCCTCCTGCACACTCCCCACTGGATATGTGCCCACAACCAAGGTACATGCCCTTGACTGGAATCAAACCCAGGACCCTTGAGTCCGCAGGCCTACGCTCTATCCACTGAGCCAAACCAGTCAGGGCAAGAAATGTTTTTTAAAAAGAAAGACACAATACCATTATCTCACCTAAAAATTAACAATAATTTCTTAGTATCAGTTATCCAGTCAGTATTTAAATCCCTCTGCTAATTTGTTTCATGGTTCTTTTGTTCAGATGAAGTTGATCAGCATTTGACAGCATCTAAGATTGTTTTTTTAAATAAAAATTATAATTTATTGGCTAATGTATATTCTTATTGTAGGACTAGAGGCCCAGAACACACGAAATCATGCACAAGTAGCTCGCTTCTGCTTGCCTCAGCAGGCCGCCCCGCCATACACCGCTCGTAGCTCTCCACTACTAGTAGCTTGCACCCTGCCCTGCCCGCGGTTCATTTGGTCATGACACCATTACACTGTCATGACCACAGTTCTTTTATGATATAGACTAGAGGCCCGGTGCACAAAAATTTGTGCACTCGGGAGGGGAGGGGGGGTCCCTCAGCCTGGCCTGTGCCCTCTCGCAGTCTGGGACCCCTCGGGAGATAACGACCTGCTGGCTTAGGCCTGCTCCCTGGTGGCAGAGGGCAGGCCCAATCCCTAGGTGCAGCCCCTGGTCAGGCTCAGAGCAGGGCCGATTGGGGAGTTGGGGCACCACCCCTTGTCATGCACAGAGCAGGGCGGATCGGGAGGTTGTGATGCCACCCCCAGTCACGCTCCGGGTAGGGCCAATTGGGGGGTTGGGGAACTGCCCCCTGTCACACTCAAGGCAGGGTCGATGGGGAGGTTGCAGCGCCACACCCTGTCACACACAGAGCAGGGCCCATCAGGGGGTTGGGGAGCTACCCCCTGTCACACACACAGCAGGGCAGATCAGGGGGTTGGGGCGCCGCACCCTGTCACACACAGAGCCGCAAGGCGATCAGGGGTTTGGGGAGCTCCCCCCTATCAGGCACAGAGCAGGGCTGATCAGGGGGTTGGGGCGCCTTCCCCTGTCACGAACAGAGCAGGGCAGATAGGGAGGTTGTGGCCGCGCCCCCTGTCACACACAGAGCCGCAGGGCGATCAGGGGGTTTGGGCGCTGCCCCCTGTCACACTGATCCCAGTGCCGGGAGGCCTCTTGGCTCCGCTGATCCCGGTGCTGGGCGGCATATTACCCTTTTACTATATAGGGTAGAGGCCTGGTGCATGGGTGGGGCTGGCTGGTTTGCCCTGAAGGGTGTCCTGGACCAGGGTGGGGGTCCCCACTGGGGTGCCTGTCCTGCCTGGGTGAGGGGATGATGGCTGTTTGCTGCTGGTCACACACTCTTCAGGGTGGGGGTCCCCACTGGGGTGCCTGGCCAGTCTGGGTGAGGGGCTGAGGGCTGTTTTCAGGCTGGCAGGTGACTGAAGCTCCCAACCGCTTCTTTTTTTCTTTTTTCTTTTTTATTCTGGGCCAGCTTTAGCTCTGAGGCTTGGCTCCAGCTCTGAGGCCTCTGCTGCTGAAAGCAGGTATCTGGTTTGTTTGGGTTCTATAATCGAAACACTGTATCAACTCCAGCTCTGAGATCCCGGCTGGCTGAAAGCAGGTTTCTGGGGTTTTGTTTAGCCTCTATATTTGTAACAATGTTTCAAACTGCAAGCTCAGAGGCCAGCAGCGGCAGGCAGGGAACGTTGGAGTCCTCCGTCACTGAAGCAAGCAAGCCTCATGTTTGCTTCAAGCTGCCTGGCTGCCGGCAGCCATCTTGGCTGGCAGTTAATTTGCATATCGCCCTGTTTAGCCAATGGGAAGGGTAGCGGACGTATGGCTAATTACCATGCTTCCCTTTTATTAGATAGGACTAGTGGCCCAGTGCATGAAATTCATGCACAGAGGGGAGGTTCCCTCAGCCCAGCCTGTACCCTCTCCAATCAGGGACTCACAGGGATCGGGCCTAAACTGGCAGTCAGACATCCATCTCACAATCTGAAACTGTTGGCTCCTAACCACTCACCTGCCTGCCTGCTTAATCACCTCTAACCCCTCTTCCTGCCTGCCTGATCGCCCCTAAACTCTCTGCCTGCCTGCCTGCCTGCCTGCCTGATCGCCCCAACTGCCTCTGCCTGCCTGCCTGATCTTGCCCCCAACTGCCCTCCCTGATCACCCCTAATTGCCTCTGCCGTGGCCCCCACCACCATGGCTTTGTCCAGAAGGAAGTCAGAAGTCCAGAAGATGGCCAGTTGACCTGGTCTAATTAGCATATTACCCTTTTATTAGTATAGATCAGTGGTTCTCAACCTTCCTAATGCCGCA